GTTGCTACTGCTACTGCTGAGCTACTGCTACTGCCAACTTCACGTTTTATAATTTTCTACTGCTACTGCTGAGCTACTGCTACTGCCAACTTCACGTTTTATAATTTTTCTACTGCTACTGCTGAGCCACTGCTACTGCCAACTTCACGTTTTATAATTTTGCTACTGCTACTGCTGAGCTACTGCTACTGCCAACTTCACGTTTTATAATTTTGCTACTGCTACTGCTGAGCTACTGCTACTGCCAACTTCACGTTTTATAATTTTTGCTACTGCTACTGCTGAGCTACTGCTACTGCCAACTTCACGTTTTATTAATTTTTCTACTGCTACTGCTGAGCTACTGCTACTGCCAACTTCACGTTTTATAATTTTGCTACTGCTACTGCTGAGCTACTGTTACTGCCAACTTCACGTTTTATAAATTTGCTACTGCTACTGCTGAGCTACTGCTACTGCCAACTTCACGTTTTATAATTTTGCTACTGCTACTGACTGAGCTAATGCTACTGCCAATTTCACGTTTTATAATTTTGCTGCTGCTACTGCTGTCCTACTGCTACTGCCAACTTCACGTTTTATATATTTGCTACTGCTACTGCTACTGCTCACTGCTACTGCTAACTTCCCTACCGGTCAAAATTGTTTTAGGTCTAAATTACCTGTAACTTTATATGTTTTCTGTTGAAAATTATTTTATTTAGATGTGCGCTCTAAGTTTGTTTATTCCATTCATTTGTAGAGAATCATTCTCACAACAAACATGATGAAGAGAAGTAACCAAATGAAGTGCAAAAAGGTCAGTTTGAAGATGGGGAAAGCAAACACTTTTGCAATAAAGAAATACAAAATATATATATAACAAATAAACAGTTCAGTTTACCTTGAATAAAAGTTTAAATAATTTTTACGGAATAAAGACTGGACCGGAATCGAGGGCCAGTTTTTTGAAATGTGTTTTAAGATAAACTGACACAACCGTAACCTTGATATAATACAATATGAGTCGTGACATTTTGGCAAGCCTAACAATAACAAATATACAATAAATACAGAAACTTTCATTTTTCATATAAAGTGGAGCGGAAACAGCATCCATATGACGATGTAACACTTAACGAAGAAGATAATGACGTAGCACCACCTAACGAGTTTCTGGGTAATCCTTATAATTATTTTATATATTTTACCGTCTCTTTCGCCAGATTTTTGGAACAAATATTTATCAATTTTAATGACTCCGAAGGGCGGCATATTAAAATCGCACCGTCCGTTTGAACGTCTATCTCTCTGTATCTTCCCACTTATACAACATGTGTGTGCGGACTATAACTTTGTCATGCATTGAAGGATTATAAAATAATATGCAAAAAATGTCTACCACATCATAATGATGTGTCGCGTCTTAGACCCATGTCCCTACCTCAAAGGTTTAGGTGACACATACAGTTTGAATGTACACATTCACACAATAAGAAGTTGAAGATAACAATTATGTCCAAGCTGTAACTTTGATATGCTTTGAAGGATTTTAAAAAAATATGGCCCAAATGTCTACAATATCAAGCTGACGTGTCACGTCTAAGGGTCATAACATTACCTAAGGTCAAAGCCACACTTACAGGAATGTTGATCAGCATGTTAAGTTGTACACCTGGGTATTTTAGTGTGGGATATATTTAGTATTTTAGAGTTATTGTCCTTGAATTAGTAACGATTTCCAATTTTCAACTTGTGTAGCACGTAACTAAAAAAGGATTTGACCTACTGTTACTGCTACTGCTGAGCTACTGCTACTGCCAACTTCACGTTTTATAATTTTGCTACTGCTACTGCTGAGCTACTGCTACTGCCAATTTCACGTTTTATAATTTTGCTACTGCTACTGCTGAGCTACTGCTACTGCCAATTTCAGGTTTTATTATTTTGCTACTGCTTTTGCTGTCCTACTGCTACTGCCAACTTCACGTTTTATAATTTTGCTACTGCTACTGCTGAGCTACTGCTACTGCCAACTTCACGTTTTATAATTTTGCTACTGCTACTGCTGAGCCACTGCTACTGCCAACTTCACGTTTTATAATTTTTCTACTGCTACTGCTGAGCTACTGCTACTGCCAACTTCACGTTTTATAATTTTGCTACTGCTACTGCTGAGCTACTGCTACTGCCAACTTCACGTTTTATATTTTTGCTACTGCTACTGCTGAGCTACTGCTACTGCCAACTTCACGTTTTATAATTTTGCTACTGCTACTGCTGAGCTACTGCTACTGCCAACTTCACGTTTTATAATTTTTCTACTGCTACTGCTACTGCCAACTTCACGTTTTATCATTTTGCTACTGCTACTGCTGAGCTACAGCTACTGCCAATTTCACGTTTTATAATTTTGCTACTGCTACTGCTGAGCTACTGCTACTGCCAATTTCAGGTTTTATTATTTTGCTACTGCTTTTGCTGTCCTACTGCTACTGCCAACTTCACGTTTTATAATTTTGATACTGCTACTGCTGAGCTACAGCTACTGCCAACTTCACGTTTTATAAATTTGCTACTGCTACTGCTGAGCTACTGCTACTGCCAACTTCACGTTTTATAATTTTGCTACTGCTACTGCTGAGCTAATGCTACTGCCAATTTCACGTTTTATAATTTTGCTGCTGCTACTGCTGTCCTACTGCTACTGCCAACTTCACGTTTTATATATTTGCTACTGCTACTGCTACTGCTCACTGCTACTGCTAACTTCCTACCGGTCAAAATTGTTTAGGTTAAATTACCTGTAACTTTATATATTTTCTGTTGAAAATTATTTTATTTAGATGTGCGCTCTAAATTTGTTTATTCCATTTGTAGAGAATCATTCTCACAACAAACATGATGAAGAGAAGGAACCAAATGAAGTGCAAAAAGGTCAGTTTGAAGATGGGGAAAGTAAACACTTTTGCAATAAAGAAATACAAAATATTTATAACAAATAAACAGTTAAGTTTACCTTGAATGAAAGTTTAAATAATTTTTTACGGAATAACGACTGGGCCGGAATTGAGGGCCAGTTTTGAAATGTGTTTAAGATAAACTGACACAACCGTAACCTTGATATAATACAATATGAGTTCGTGACATTTTGGCAAGCCTAACAATAACAATATACAATAAATACAGAAACTTTCATTTTCATATAAAGTGGAGCGGAAACAGCATCCATATGACGATGTAACACTTAACGAAGAAGATAATGACGTAGCACCACCTAACGAGTTTCAGGGTAATCCTTATAATTATTTTATATATTTAAACGTCTTTCGCCAGATTTTTGGAACAAATATTTATCAATTTTAATGACTCCGAAGGGCGGCATATTAAAAATCGCAACGTCCGTTTGAACGTCTATCTCTCTGTATCTTCCCACTTATACAACATTTGTGTGCGGACTATAACTTTGTCATGCATTGAAGGATTATAAAATAATATGCAAAAAATGTCTACCACATCATAATGATGTGTCGCGTCTTAGACCCATGTCCCTACCTCAAAGGTTTAGGTGACACATACAGTTTGAATGTACACATTCACACAATAAGAAGTTGAAGATAACAATTATGTCCAAGCTGTAACTTTGATATGCTTTGAAAGGATTTTAAAAAAATATGGCCCAAATGTCTACAATATCAAGCTGACGTGTCACGTCTAAGGGTCATAACATTACCTAAGGTCAAAGCCACACTTACAGGAATGTTGATCATCAGCATGTTAAGTTGTACACCTGGGTATTTTAGTGTGGGATATATTTAGTATTTTAGAGTTATTGTCCTTGAATTAGTAACGATTTCCAATTTTCAACTTGTGTAGCACGTAACTAAAAAAGGATTTGACCTACTGTTACTGCTACTGCTGAGCTACTGCTACTGCCAACTTCACGTTTTATAATTTTGCTACTGCTACTGCTGAGCTACTGCTACTGCCAACTTCACGTTTTATAATGTTGCTACTGCTACTGCTGACCTACTGCTACTGCCAATTTCAGGTTTTATTATTTTGCTACTGCTTTTGCTGTCCTACTGCTACTGCCAACTTCACGTTTTATAATTTTCTACTGCTACTGCTGAGCTACTGCTACTGCCAACTTCACGTTTTATAATTTTGCTACTGCTACTGCTGAGCCACTGCTACTGCCAACTTCACGTTTTATAATTTTGCTACTGCTACTGCTGAGCTACTGCTACTGCCAACTTCACGTTTTATTATTTTGCTACTGCTACTGCTGTCCTACTGCTACTGCCAACTTCACGTTTTATAATTTTGCTACTGCTACTGCTGAGCTACTGCTACTGCCAACTTCACGTTTTATAATTTTTCTACTGCTACTGCTGAGCTACTGCTACTGCCAACTTCACGTTTTATAATTTTGCTACTGCTACTGCTGAGCTTCTGCCAACTTCACGTTATATCATTTTGCTACTCTACTGCTGAACTACTGCTACTGCCAACTTCACGTTTTATCATTTTGCTACTGCTGCTGCTGAGCAACTGCTACTGCCAATTTCACGTTTTATAATTTTGCTACTGCTACTGCTGAGCTACTGCTACTGCCAATTTCAGGTTTTTTATTTTGCTACTGCTTTTGCTGTCGTACTGCTACTGCCAACTTCACGTTTTATAATTTTGATACTGCTACTGCTGAGCTACTGCTACTGCCAACTTCACGTTTTATAATTTTTCTACTGCTACTGCTGAGCCACTGCTACTGCCAACTTCACGTTTTATAATTTTGCTACTGCTACTGCTGAGCTACTGCTACTGCCAACTTCACGTTTTATAATTTTGCTACTGCTACTGCTGAGCTACTGCTACTGCCAACTTCACGTTTTATAATTTTGCTACTGCTACTGCTGAGCTACTGCTACTGCCAACTTCACATTTTATAATTTTTCTACTGCTACTGCTGAGCTACTGCTACTGCCAACTTCACGTTTTATAATTTTGCTACTGCTACTGCTGAGCTACTGTTACTGCCAACTTCACGTTTTATAAATTTGCTACTGCTACTGCTGAGCTACTGCTACTGCCAACTTCACGTTTTATAATTTTGCTACTGCTACTGCTGAGCTAATGCTACTGCCAATTTCACGTTTTATAATTTTGCTGCTGCTACTGCTGTCCTACTGCTACTGCCAACTTCACGTTTTATATATTTGCTACTGCTACTGCTACTGCTCACTGCTACTGCTAACTTCCTACCGGTCAAAATTGTTTAGGTTAAATTACCTGTAACTTTATATGTTTTCTGTTGAAAATTATTTTATTTAGATGTGCGCTCTAAGTTTGTTTATTCCATTCATTTGTAGAGAATCATTCTCACAACAAACATGATGAAGAGAAGTAACCAAATGAAGTGCAAAAAGGTCAGTTTGAAGATGGGGAAAGCAAACACTTTTGCAATAAAGAAATACAAAATATATATATAACAAATAAACAGTTCAGTTTACCTTGAATAAAAGTTTAAATAATTTTTACGGAATAAAGACTGGACCGGAATCGAGGGCCAGTTTTGAAATGTGTTTAAGATAAACTGACACAACCGTAACCTTGATATAATACAATATGAGTCGTGACATTTTGGCAAGCCTAACAATAACAATATACAATAAATACAGAAACTTTCATTTTCATATAAAGTGGAGCGGAAACAGCATCCATATGACGATGTAACACTTAACGAAGAAGATAATGACGTAGCACCACCTAACGAGTTTCTGGGTAATCCTTATAATTATTTTATATATTTTACCGTCTTTCGCCAGATTTTTGGAACAAATATTTATCAATTTTAATGACTCCGAAGGGCGGCATATTAAAATCGCACCGTCCGTTTGAACGTCTATCTCTCTGTATCTTCCCACTTATACAACATGTGTGTGCGGACTATAACTTTGTCATGCATTGAAGGATTATAAAATAATGTGCAAAAAATGTCTACCACATCATAATGATGTGTCGCGTCTTAGACCCATGTCCCTACCTCAAAGGTTTAGGTGACACATACAGTTTGAATGTACACATTCACACAATAAGAAGTTGAAGATAACAATCATGTCCAAGCTGTAACTTTGATATGCTTTGAAGGATTTTAAAATAATATGGCCCAAATGTCTACAATATCAAGCTGACGTGTCACGTCTAAGGGTCATATCATTACCTAAGGTCAAGGCCACACTTACAGGAATGTTGATCAGCATGTTAAGTTGTACACCTGGGTATATTAGTGTGGGATATATTTAGTATTCTTAGAGTTATTGTCCTTGAATTAGTAACGATTTCCAATTTTCAACTTGTGTCGCACGTAACTAAAAACGATTTGACCTACTGCTACTGCTACTGCTGAGCTACTGCTACTGCCAACTTCACGTTTTATAATTTTGCTACTGCTACTGCTGAGCTACTGCTACTGCCAACTTCACGTTTTATAATTTTGCTACTGCTACTGCTGACCTACTGCTACTGCCAATTTCAGGTTTTATTATTTTGCTACTGCTTTTGCTGTCCTACTGCTACTGCCAATTTCACGTTTTATAATTTTGCTACTGCTACTGCTGAGCTACTGCTACTGCCAACTTCACGTTTTATAATTTTGCTACTGCTACTGCTGAGCCACTGCTACTGCCAACTTCACGTTTTATAATTTTTCTACTGCTACTGCTGAGCTACTGCTACTGCCAACTTCACGTTTTATAATGTTGCTACTGCTACTGCTGAGCTACTGCTACTGCCAACTTCACGTTTTATAATTTTGCTACTGCTACTGCTGAGCCACTGGTACTGCCAACTTCACGTTTTATAATTTTTCTACTGCTACTGCTGAGCTACTGCTACTGCCAACTTCACGTTTTATAATTTTGCTACTGCTACTGCTGAGCTACTGCTACTGCCAACTTCACGTTTTATAATTTTGCTACTGCTACTGCTGAGCCACTGCTACTGCCAACTTCACGTTTTATAATTTTGCTACTGCTACTGCTGAGCTACTGCTACTGCCAACTTCACGTTTTATAATTTTGCTACTGCTACTGCTGAGCTACTGCTACTGCCAACTTCACATTTTATAATTTTTCTACTGCTACTGCTGAGCTACTGCTACTGCCAACTTCACGTTTTATAATTTTGCTACTGCTACTGCTGAGCTACTGCTACTGCCAACTTCACATTTTATAATTTTTCTACTGCTACTGCTGAGCTACTGCTACTGCCAACTTCACGTTTTATAATTTTGCTACTGCTACTGCTGAGCTACTGCTACTGCCAACTTCACGTTTTATAAATTTGCTACTGCTACTGCTGAGCTACTGCTACTGCCAACTTCACGTTTTATCATTTTGCTACTGCTACTGCTGAGATAATGCTACTGCCAATTTCACGTTTTATAATTTTGCTACTGCTACTGCTGTCCTACTGCTACCGCCAACTTCACGTTTTATAAATTTGCTACTGCTACTGCTCACTGCTACTGCTATCTTCCTACCGGTCAAAATTGTTTAGGCTAAATTACCTGTAACTTTATATGTTTTCTGTTGAAAATTATTTTATTTAGATGTGCGCTCTAAATTTGTTTATTACATTTGTAGAGAATCATTCTCACAACAAACATGATGAAGAGAAGGAACCAAATGAAGTGCAAAAAGGTCAGTTTGAAGATGGGGAAAGCAAACACTTTTGCAATAAAGAAATACAAAATATATATATAACAAATAAACAGTTAAGTTTACCTTGAATGAAAGTTTAAATAATTTTTACGGAATAACGACTGGGCCGGAATCGAGGGCCAGTTTTGAAATGTGTTTAAGATAAACTGACACAACCGTAACCTTGATATAATACAATATGAGTCGTGACATTTTGGCAAGCCTAACAATAACAATATACAATAAATACAGAAACTTTCATTTTCATATAAAGTGGAGCGGAAACAGCATCCATATGACGATGTAACACTTAACGAAGAAGATAATGACGTAGCACCACCTAACGAGTTTCAGGGTAATCCTTATAATTATTTTATATATTTAAACGTCTTTCGCCAGATTTTTGGAACAAATATTTATCAATTTTAATGACTCCGAAGGGCGGCATATTAAAATCGCACCGTCCGTTTGAACGTCTATCTCTCTGTATCTTCCCACTTATACAACATTTGTGTGCGGACTATAACTTTGTCATGCATTGAAGGATTATAAAATAATATGCAAAAAATGTCTACCACATCATAATGATGTGTCGCGTCTTAGACCCATGTCCCTACCTCAAAGGTTTAGGTGACACATACAGTTTGAATGTACACATTCACACAATAAGAAGTTGAAGATAACAATCATGTCCAAGCTGTAACTTTGATATGCTTTGAAGGATTTTAAACTAATATGGCTCAAATGTCTACAATATCAAGCTGACGTGTCACGTCTAAGGGTCATATCATTACCTAAGGTCAAAGCCACACTTACAGGAATGTTGATCAGCATGTTAAGTTGTACACCTGGGTATTTTCGTGTATATATTTTTAGTATTTTTAGACTTATTGCCCTTGACTTAGTAAAATGTACAATTTTCAACTTTTGTCGCACGTAATTAAAAAAAACATTTGACCTATAGTCATGAAACCTTACAGGAATGTTGACCAGCATGTGTAGTTGTGTACCTGGGTATTTTCATGTGGATATATTTAGTACTTTTAGAGTTATTGCCATTGAGTTAGTAAAATTGTACAATTTTCAACTTGTGTCGCACGTAACCAAAATGTATTTTTAGAGTCTTGAAACCTTACAAGAATGTTGCTCAGCATGTTCCCCTCGAGCCTTCGATTTTTAGCGTATTTTCGCTCCGCGCCCCCGCCATTTTAACTTGTTTATTCTCGATTTTTCGTTCGGCGGCGTCGCGGAGCGAAAACACGAGTTGCACAAATCAGCCTTCAAAGTTACACATCATTATCTCACTCGGGCTACGTCCACGCTCAAAACATTTATTTTTAGCTGACCATTCGAAGAATATGGAGAGCAATTGCAGTCGTTCCGGCGTCCGTGTCGGCTTCTGCGTTGGTTTAAGATTTTTGTAAAGACAAATATCTCAATTATTGCTTGATATATTCAATTGAAACTTACAATACTTATCTATAGTAACAATGTACATCAGTTTGCAAAGTTGCATAACTCTTTCTGCAATATTTGCAGAATTATGCCCCTTTGAAACTTAAACATTTTGGTTAAAGTTTTTTTGTATCGTCAAATATCTCAATTATTGCTTGAGATATTCAATTGAAATTTACGATACATTTTTATAGTTACAATGTACATCAGTTTGCAAAGTTGAATAACTCTGCCTGCAATATTCTCACTCGAAATGTCGAGTAACTAAGTCGTAATTTCGATTTCGACTTACCCGAAATTTCGACTTATAAACTCGAAATATCGACTTAGTTACTCGAAATTTCGACCTACTAACTTGAAATGTCCACTTAGTAACTCGAAAGTTCGACTTATATACTAGTAATTTCGACTTACGTTGCCTGACTTACATTTTTGCCGGTGTAAGCAAGGATCGAATTCAAGAGACTTTCTTTCATGTGTACTGTAGCTGTTGCACATTGACAGAGCACCTACTAGTATGTATTTAACAGAATAATTTAATAGGGTCATATTGTCCACACATACCGAACATATCCTTCCAATTCTCTTGATTGCTTTATTGTGGGGGTGTAAAATCATACTTTCAACATTACCGTGTGTGTTAACCGGATGTTTCTTGTGTCTAAAGCATACACACAACCTATTGTAATCTGTGCAATATTCATGTGTTAACTAAGTTTCAAATGGCGTGTATACGCCAGTTAGTCTATCACGTTTCTTTATACTTATAATGTTTGTGTAAAATTTTAAAAAGATGTTTGTCAATATTCTATATCTATTCACTATGACTTTGGTTCATATTGTTTTGATAAAAGTTGATAAAAGTGGTACTTGTTGTTATAATGTTGTGAATAAAATTAAAGCCTCCGATTTTTCAAGAAATATAGTCAGTCCAACAAATTTGACAAAGACTTCAGCACGCCCTTTTTCGGCCACTCCGTTAAACTTTCCTCAGATGTCCCACACATGAATATAGGATCGTTTTATTCACAGGAATGAGAAGAATATGATTAGTGAAAAGATATGTTCGAACAGTCTGTAGAACGTCTGAAGAACGCCTAAGCGTACATATTAAAGAAATCCTTGTGTTTTTATGTCGGGCGTGTACAAGTGACCACACTTATAAGTTTAAGTTTAACTTTAATAGTTTGTCCAGGCACCCTTTCTCCATCTCCATCGTTCAACCGCATCCACTACTATATCTTTTATCATCTAAACTCTCGGTAACTCATAACTTTGGCAATTATAGTCATGTAACAAAATCGAAATTACTCAGTCAAAATTTCGAGTGACTAAGTTGAAATTTCGAGTTACTAAGTCGAAATTTTGAGATACGTAACTCGAAATTTCAAGTTAGGATGTCGAAATTTCGAGTAAGTAAGTCGAAATTTCGAGTAAATAAGTCGAAATTTTGAGTAAGTAAGTCGAAATTTCGAGTTATTAACTCGAAATTTCGAGATAGGTTACGAGACAGGTTATACATTTAGCATGCTCTAAATCTAATATTCAAACATTATCAAACAGAGTTTTGACATTTCTACAGAATTAAAACAAGAACCGGTTGAACCGGGGGATGCTCCACGAATAGGTTTTGGACACAGAAATGTATGCCTATTGTAGTGTCAGAGTTATGTCACAGACAAAATTTAGAGTTTTAAAATGAACAAAGGGCAATATATACAAAATTAAACAAGGCAGAGTTAAGGTTCTTTTGCACTGCACGTCAAATAACAAAGTTATGAGCCGGACACGATTTTGCTGCAAGGTCATTCTGGGCCCTCAAGGTAGCGACCCAAATGTTGCTCTCAATATGGTGATCAATTCTGTGAAATAGTTGTAAAATTCGACTTAAAATAACGAAGTTATGAGCCGGACACGATTTGCTGCAAGGTCATGCTGTGACCATGACTCTCATGGTAGCGATCCAAATGTTGCGCGCGACACGTCGTCGTTTCCGTGAAATAGTTGTTAAATCCGACTTCAAATAACGAAGTTATGGGCCTGACACGAATTTGGGACGTATGTTCGGATGGACGGACGGATGGATGGATGAACGGATGGACGCACAAGGGTGAATCTAAATGCCCCACCCCCCTATAGTGGGGGCACAATAAAACTTCGCCCGCGTATCCGATAATTAGCGTGTTTTCAATAAAACTTCGCCCCACACTCCAGCTTATTAGCGTGTTTTCGCTCCGTGTACCCTCCGTGTTATTTTGTTAATTCTCGACTTTTCTTTCAGTTAAAATACCTATTTACCAATAAAATGCTGATGGCCTATATACTGTTAAATTGTCTAAATTAAGGCAAAATATGAAGAAAAAAGGGGAAAAAAAGATTGCTTTGCCCTGGGCTTTGATACGCAGGCTTCATAACCTCTGATCCCCTATCAAATTCAATTTTATTTAGTTCCGCCCATTGTTTTTTCGTTTAGGGCACACGCTTTTTATTACTTGAGGACCATACACCGCTTTTCATGGAATGGCAAGGAAGTGTCACATTGAAGGTTCCATGATAACCGCCGTATGAACACATCTGCAGATGTTTCTAAATTCAAAACTTTACTATTTCATGTTTAAATGTTGAATTCTGCTTAAGCCGGTGCTAGGGTGCGTGGACGGTAACTTGCACTTTCCAGTACCATCCATGAACAGGCTTAATCAAACCGAGCCTGCAACATTTTCAATTTTGCCGTGTTAGGCTTCCTTTAGGGATTCTGTATTTATCTATTTTTTGAACTCATTCTTTACCGAAACTTTGTGTTCTCACTGAGAATGAACCCTTTGAAATAGATTATTATTATTAGATGGTCGCTTATTCTTAGCGGGACCTCTGAATTTTACCTTTGTTTTGTACACTTTTTGAGATAAGCTCCGGACAAAAAGTATGTAAAATAACAAAGGGCAATAACTAACAAAATATAAAGGGTATCATTCTTGCGCATAACATTCCTCCCCAATAAGATCTATTCACCCATTAAGTTTCATGTTGACATCTCAAAGGCTTTTCGAGTTATCCGCCACTCAGGTGAAAAATAAAATATGAAAAATAACAAAGGGCAATAACTCAATAAATATGAAGGGTAAAGGTATAACTTTTTTGCACTGTACACCTCCCGAGTGAGATCTATCCACCTATGAAGTTTCATGTTGATATCTCAAAGGCTTTTTGTGTCGCCTTGAAAAGGTGACATATAGGGGTTACTTTCGTCGGCGGTGTCGGCGGCGGTGTCGGCGTCGTTGTCGGCGTCGGCGTCGTTGTCGGCGTCCCCTAAAGCTTGTCCGGAGCATAACTCAGTCACTAAAAGTCTGATTGACTTCAAACTTGGTATGCATGCTTCTTTCAATAACCCGAAGTGCAGTGCACAAGGACCGGTACTCTGCAGTTCTTATTTTTTGAGTTATTGCCCTTTGTTAATTTTCATACATTAATTTTGTCCGGGCCATTTCTCTTCAACTAAAAATGCTATGGACTTGAAACTTCATAGGATGATAGATCTCATTAAGAAGAAATGCAGTGCACAAGAACCAGTACTCTGCACTTCCTAATTTTTGAGTTATTGCCCTTTGTTAATTTTCATACTTTATTTTGGTCCGGGCCATTTCTCCTAATGTATAAAAGCCATGGACTTGAAACTTCATAGGATGATAGGTCTCATTAAGAAGAAGTGCAGTGCACAAGAACTGGTACTCTGCACTTATTATTTTTTTAGTTATTGCCCTTTGTTATTTTTCATATTTCATTTTTGTCCAGGCCATTTCTCCTTAAGTATAAAAGCTATGGGCTTGAAACTTCATAGGATGATAGATCTCATTATTAAGAAGTGCAGTGCACAAGAATCGGTACTCTGCATTTCTTAAT